AAGTGAGATGTCAGTGTATGCAAGATCCACCTCCTTAACGTAGAACAAATGACACCCCTAGTAACTCAAGATACAACAGTTGTACCCACACTATGTATCATCACACAGACTGTGAAGCTTTAGCCACATGCAAAAGAGCATACTCATTCCAAACCCTTATAAAAAGATCCATTTCTTCGACACATTCTTAGTCCCCTATACAGGAATTGACAAAAATACTACTCCACTTTGAGAGAAATTGGTATATTAAAGATAAAGGTATGATTGCTTTTGGCTAATTTAGCCTTTTTTTTTTGCTGCGAGACTGGTTTCCATGGAAATGCAAGCAAAGTAAAAACCTGCAACCAGAAGTGAGTCAGTTTTGCCTGTTTATGTCTCCTCAGTTCCCATGGAAACAGACATCAAAAAAAAAAAAAAGTATGAAAAGGATAAGGGTCCTGAAATACCTTCAGAAAATCTCTTCCCAGAGCTTTATCTCTTTGGCTGCCTTTCCAGCATTAGGGTTGAAAATAACACAGAGCAACAGATGACAGAGTAATGACTCGATTTCTTTATGGAGGCATCAACAGAATGTACCTGGAGATGTTTCAAAAGCCACATTCAAACTGACAAGCTCAAAATCTACAGCTACAAATTGTATTAACTCAGGGTTTGGCAAAAGTACCTAAAGTAAAGTATGTTTTTCTTTAAATTCATTCAATCCTAAATGCAACAGGGAACAAGAAAACAGCATCACACTGTCCTTTTCTGAAGTATATTTCAATACTTTCAGAGGGCAAAAAAAAATCTGCCTTGGGGGAATGAGTTCAATATTTCCATAGCCAGGACATTTTTAATGGAATCATTCCTTCCTTACAACACATTCATTTTTAAGTTGCAAAATTAGCTATACACATACTGGGTTAAATAATAAACATCAGCATTAAATTTTACTATGACTATATCCTGTCCTTCAGTTATGGGTAAAAATGCATTCCTCCGAGCTGATGAGGCAAATCTACGAGGCACTGTCAGCTCAATTCCATCACCCATCATACTTTTCAAAGATAATGGGGTACCTTCCTGTGTGCTGTCTTTTTCACACTCATACAGATAACATCTTCCTTCCTCCACAGAGCCAAATGCATCAGGAAAGGTGAAACCAATAGGACCAGAAGCTATTAGGAAAAGGCTGTAGTGCACCTGACCTTCCAAACCTGTTCCTGTCACTACCAGTACTATGTAAGAATTCCCTGATAACTCAGTGTCCAGAAAGAAACACAACGAACAGAGTTATAATTATCTGCTGCTGCAAGGTCCTTCTAGAATGTACATGACAGCTAACCTGATAACAAAATTCTTATTTCCTTGTTTGTCTCCCACATTGTGTTATCAGTTCTGCGTGCTTAACACCCTTCATGCAACTTAACACTTAATCAGAGAGCTGCAGCATCTGTCACTGTTGCCTGTCTGGGAAGAACATGGAAGGACAATGTTCAACTCTTACCACTACTGTCAGAGACTGAAACTGTATTACAGAAATCAGGAAAGAAAAAAAGAAAAAGGAAAGTGTACCTCTATCCTAAACACTGTTCATAAACTCCAAACAATCACCAGAACTCAAAGGCCCTCCTGCATTTCTACAGTGCTACGCACCATTTTTTTGCACTTTGTTGCTGCCCTGAGAACTTACACTATATTGCCACCAACATCAAACAAGGCTCAGGGAAGAGTAGCCGACCATGACAGTCACTAAAAGGATGACAGAGGGGTAGCCACTGGAGGTTTGTCTTGAATTGAAGCAGCAGTCGAATTTAATTTGACTTTAATTAGTTCACATTAGCTGAATTCAATCTATTCTTCACACAAGAAAGATAAGCCTTAGAGAATTAATTCTTTTGTATCTCTTCAGCATTTTGGCAAGGTGTACAGTTGCACAGTAAGGATAAGAATCTCTCAGAACTCACTAAGGCATCACTCAAGGAGGACAGATTTAAATAGAAATGATAAGAAAAACACTGATTCCTATCTTTCAGCCTATTCAAAGTTTAGCCTCCTTTCTTGGAGGTGTCAGAAGTACAAACAAATAAATTACTTTATTCACTTGCTTTAGCAGCTAAATATACAAACTCCAAAGTCTCAGCAGATTCCTTACAGTTACCATTCAAATTCACCCATATCAACAACATACAGAGGCAGTTTCTAAAACATCAAGTGAACAAACCATACAAGCAGCAAGTAAGCAGATCAAGTATTTTTCATCATGCTCTAGAGCAAATATGTGTCCATTATTAAATGCAGGTGTCAAGTTTACTAAAATCAGAATCTGAAGAGATTGCAGGGGTGTCAGATGTCAGGATCAGCTTAGTTTCATGCCTCCTCTCCACACAACACAGAACAAAGATGAATGCGATTACTGAAACTAAGGAGTCACAAACAAAATAAAGACACTGGTCACAAAGAAAGAAAAAACAACTGAAAAAGAAGATAACTTACACATCAAACCCAATAATCTTAGACGAAGCACCCTAAAGCTAACACATCTAACTCAGTTTTGCCTTTGGGGACATCAGCATGATCGTATCAAGCTTAAGGAGACTTACAAGGTCACACACTGAATTGTAATTCAGGATACAAACCCATGAATGGCTATCAAGCACCACCCTGTCTTGTGAAATGAGCTAAGACTCCCCTTCACAAAATAGAAAGTATAATTGCACCATTACACATTGTATCATATTACTCATGCTCAAGAAAGCCTAATCATGGTTAAATGAGCAACTTCAACTCTGTCATTTGTTAACTTCCAAATGTTTATTTATAGAAGCTTAACATTAACTGGTTGTATCAAGTTTCCCACTATAGGCTTTTAAATTTGTATTTTAAATCTGCGTAAGTTCCTCATGCACAAAATTCCACGATAAACAAAACTTTTTTTGATTCATGCAAAACTCCTTTAAGATCAACTGAAAACTGGTATCATCTTAGCTGTTTCCAAAAGTAATCACAGAATCTTGCCCTCTCACACTGGACTGGTGTTTACACTAATATTTCCAGGAGCTTCATCTGATATTTGAGACACAACCTATACAAGCGTCTAGAAGAAAACAAACAACAGTACAGCCCATATCCACTGTGACAGCTGATAAAGATCAATAAGCTTATTCTTCAAACTAGCTGAATAAGCTTAATGCAAGCACTGTGACTTCCGAGAATAAATGAAGAACATATTTTATATACAAGATGATTTAAAAGGAGACACACAGCTAGCAAAAAGCCTGTGACATCACCTCACAGGGCTCCTGTCAGAACATCCAAAAGCAGCCAGTACGCGCAACAGAAATCACTCTAACTTGGCTGGAACTTAAAGTCATCTTTCCAGGTAGAAGCATTCATTTTTAGAAATCCACAATGTTTGCATACTGATTTGCAATGCTGCATCACAAAACTCTTGACAAAAAGTTACCACAGAACTCCCCAGGGACTGTCATGGCATAAAATAACAAACGGCACAGGAAACTAAAAGCACAAAATCCAAAGAGGTGAAACCTGAAGAAATTTAAAACTCATGCCAGCACCTTGGTATGTGGCACATAAACACAGCACTTCTCCTCCACGTTTAACAAAGTTCACATACAAGCTGTGGCCTGAAGGGTTTTTTTGCAGGCCTTGGGAAGTCCCAGCATAATTTTTGGTGGTACGAAAGAAGTAGAGGATAGCAGGTGGTATAATTTCATAACAGCTCATCACGTGGTAGAGATACATAAATGTCCTTTTAACTACATTTTGTACTTCTTTTCATGCAGGAAGGATTTTCTATACTTCATTGACAAAAGTGTTAGTTCTCAGAAGGTCACAATCAAGATTGGACTCCCTCTCTGAAGAACAAACCTAAAGCAACAATCCCTGCTCAGAAAGCAACTATGCATTTCCTTTCAAAAATTCAGTCTTACAATACCTGTTCTGGTACAAGACACCTTAAGAGCCCTCCTGTCAAAATCACTGCATCAGTGCAAATGCCACATCCAAGTCATCATCCGTCATCATGCAAAAATTAGAACATGTACCAACACATACAGAGGTATGACAATATTAAATGCAATAAGTATTACAGCAGAAATCTCCAGCAGTATGCACAGTAATGCTACACAGTGAAGAAGGAATTTGACGGACAGCTTTTTTGTCAGACTGGAAAACAATCCTTCTGGATGAGTGTTTCTCAGCCACTGATCCAGGGAGCAATGGTCAGCTGAGAGGGGTCTGAAACAGCCCGTGGAACAGCTGCAAAGAAGGCTGGCTTGTGTTTTGGGCAGGAGGGGGAAAGGAATGAATTGATATTTTCAACAAACACTTTTCACAAGCAAGCAAGAAAGCAATCACCACAAGCAAAAATAAGAGCAGTTACTGAGCAATCAAACTTCAGCCTAATTTATATCCCTTTGCAGCTAAAACCTCCTATAGCATTACTGCACAGTACAATCCTCAGATTGTATTCAATGAGGTCAGATGTCTCTTTAGACTTAAGGAGATTGAGAGACATCCTTTCAGATGAGAGATATTTGGCAGATAAATGGAAGATGAGGATTTCTGAAGGACAAAGAAAGATGACAAGATAGCCAGCATATATGATTACAAAAGGAAATTAAAATCCACCAGAGAAAAAAACCTCACCTCAGATACTGTAAAATGTACAGAAATGTTCAGGGAACAAATACTTCAGCACATAAAACTATTTTGACAATTAAGAATAAACTAACATAGGATATTGTAAGAACTGGAATTTTTAATATTACAGTTACAGAGTGTGAACCTGCTTTTGTACCCAGTAATAAAAGTAAAGCCATAAAGAGCATTAGGTAATCACAAATTCAACCCCTTAAGCATACTAAAAGCTCCAGCATTTGATTTGGCTTAATCACATCCCACTAATACTAGTAAATCAGAATCACCTCAGTACTACTGCAACAATTTGACAGTCGTTTCAGGGAGCCCAGAAGGAGTTACACGGTGCTCATACTTACTTGAATCTTCCCATCTGAGGAGGTGCAACTTCCAAGCGGAATAGTACAGAAATCCCAGTACCAGAAAGAGGCAGAGGGCTAGCAGCAGGTTACGCATAAACACCAACAGTCCCATCTTCACATTAAATCTGCTCTTCTACATGACCTGAGAAAGAAAAACAGGTTGAGGTTGGAGCCACCTTCTCCGATGGTCATCCTCCCAAAACACACAATCCCACACTCCCAGTAACGCACAGATCCAAACCCACGCTCTTCGCGTGCTACCTGACCTGCATCAGTGAAATAATAACGACCACCCTCGGCAGCTGCGGGGTTTTCGTCCCACAAGGGTAAATGCCATTCCGGAGAGGCAGCAGGGCACTGCCACGCTGCCCCAGGGCAACGCCGCAAGTCTCCGTCCACATTTATGCCCCGGTCCACTTCAGATAAATACCCTCCGAAACCGCCACACACAGCGGGGCCTGGCAAGCATCGCGCTCCACCCAAGCGCAGGGCAGCCGGGACGCGCCACAGCCATCCCGCAGCGCCCCGGGGCGCCTCAGGACAGCGGGGCCGGCGGGAGCCCGGAGGCCGAGCAGGTCCCGGCAGGAGCCCCGGGCACGCCGCAGGGAAGACGCTGCCGGAGGATCAGGGCCGCCTGGAATCCGAACTGGAACGGGAACCGCTGGGCAGACAGCAGGGCGCGGGCCGGGCACCCCGCCGCCTGTCCCCGCCTCGCCGAGCTCCGCTTCCAGCCCCTGCCCTGGTGGATTTCCCCCCCACACACACCCCTCCTCACCCGGCAGCCGCCGGCGCTGGGGGCTCGGCCGCCGGCTGCGGCCCCCGGTCGCGGGGCTGCGGGCGCCGCCATGCCGGGCGCGGCGCAGCGGGACCGGCCGCCGCGGCTCTGAGGGGCACAGCGGCCGCCAATGGGGCGCCGGGGCGGGCCGCAGCGCTGCCGACCCGCCCGCATAGCGGCCGCCACCAGCCAATGGAGCGGTGCGGGGGGCCGCGCCCGCAGCCAATGGCGGGAGGGAGGGCGGCTGGGGGTCGCCGCCGGAGGGGCGCTGCGGCAGGGCGGTGGCGCGCGTGCGCAGAGACCTCTTGTAAATCCCCCCCCCCGTTAACCGGTGTGCTGCACTGCATGCGCGCGCGCTTCGGCGGCTGAGGGGCACTGCCCCGCTGCCAGGTCACCCGGGCACCTCCAAACCCTTGTGGTGACTCCGAGCACTCCGCTAAGCTTCCTCCAGACACGGCGCTGCAGGAGCACTGTCAAGCTCTGCATTGTGTCGCTGTTCCAAGCACTGCACAACACTGCACCTTCCTGCCCCTGAGACACCTCCGGGTCTCGCAGTCCCCCCAGACACTGTACCACACCTCCCTCCTAACCAGCTCCTGCATCCCAGCAGTGATGCTGCATTGCCTAGCGTCGAGTCACTGCATTGTAGTGCACTGCATCTCCCTTCAACTGTGGCACTGCACTACCTCTGGACACTGCGCAGAGCAGCTCTCACCACTGCATTGCTCACTGCACAGCCTAGCCTGCATTCACTACATGGAGCAGCCCAACACCGTCTTGCTTCCAGTCACTGAACCGCACTGCACCTAGCTATGCCACACAGTCCAGTTTAGCACTCAGTCACTGGCCTAGGTCACTGCCTTCACGCTATCCTCCAAATTCTGCAGGTCCTTACACCACTGCGTACCCAGCAAGGTGCTGCCCAGCCACTGCACACCATGTGTCACATCCCTGAGCTTCCCAAGCATTGTTCAGCCTACTGCTGGATCATGCCAGGCTGCAAAGTGATGTGCAAAGAGTAAGGTTAAAAGTTGTAAAATGAGCAACCCTGTGTTGAAACAGTGGGATGTATCTAACCTTGGAGAGCAACGTCAGCAGGGAAATCCCCAAGGTAAGAAAGGCTGTAAACTTCTGGTTCGCAGTTTTATGTTTACTGACTTAAATACACATGTATGTCTTTGTACAGAGTGGATCCTTAACTAACCTTGGATAGTTACAATGCCAAGATACACACCCCATTGTGAATAATGAGCATGATAGTTAGGGGACCGCCCTAATTGTTTTAAACCTGAAGCTAAATGCATAAACATTAAAATGTGTAATCATGGGCAGTAGAGGAAATTTTTGTCCTCCAATCAGTTGTATCTTGCTACTATAAATATCAGGCGAATCGAAATGCCTGTGTGCCGGCTCTGTTAGATGCCTAGCACCTGATTCTGCAGAACTGAAATAAAAACAAGTATCTCGACCCTGTGTGTTGATTGGCTTATTGCACACCGCATGAAGAACCCTCATTTTAGGGATAACACAAGGACCACACTGGGCTGCACAGACTGCATCAGCTGCCCTCCCACAGCACAGTACAGCTCACACCGCACAGTTCCTGTTAGATTACATCTCTACCTTCTCACTGCAGTGGTGGGCCAGCCCACACCTCATCCTTCCTATAGCATTGCCCTCCTTCCTGTTGGCCCCACAGCTTTGCTGGGTAGCCTTAATACTCATTAGGCACAGGACCAGTGAGAAACACAAGTACAAGGCAACACAGGGAGGGAATGATAAAGCAGAGAATTATCAGGCATGGGGGGGTGGTGGGGGAGTCATCTGGAAGGAAAGAGACCATAAGGAGTAAACCTGCATCATCAGGACAGCAAAGCAGCCCAATGGTTTTGGTTTGCTGTTTTCATCCTCCATGAGACACTGATAACAAGCAAAACAAAAAGCCACATGAGTTTAAGGGAAACCAAGTAGGATGATGTCCAGTGTGGTGGCAGTTCCCACTTGCAGGCAAGCCCAGGTGCTGATGCTGACCGGCAGACATTGCCTTGGAGGGCACACAGCCAAATGAGCACTGTCTGACTCTGCTCCCCAGCACTTGGCGAGAGAGGCAGAGTCCACGCAGGTCACAGGGAGAGCAGCCGGGGACTCCCCCAGTCCCACTTTCACAGCCAGAAGCTCCCTTTGTGCTCACCATGAGTGAAGTCAGTGTGAGCTGACTGCAAGTGTGGCACCCACACAGCCAGGCTCACAGACCTGCCACAATCCTCCACAGAGACATGTGTTGCACTAATGTCCTATTATGGTTTTTTGGATGCAAATGACTTCTAGATACAGCACAGGGGACCAGCAGACTCATGCCAACAGGGACCACTGGTACCCATATCCCCCTTGAGGAAGTACATGGAGAAGGGGCACATCTATCAGCAGGTCTGCTCCCCACACTGCTGCTCACATCAACCCCCAGCTCCCCAGTGCTGACTCTCTTAGGATGCTGGTTGCTCTCACACAGCCAAGGCAGCATCCTTATCCCCGGCTTCACAGCTTCACAGAAGCCAACGCCAGGCCGTGCAGCCTCCTCTGCCAGCCCTGGCTCAGACAACAGGCTTATTCTCTCCAATAACCCCACTGACCCCTGTACTGCATTGTATCTTGCTGGAGCCCAGCTTTGCTTTACAAACGCTTTATGCCAGCACCTCTCTTCACCTCTTCATCCCTCCATCTGTGTCAGCCAGGTCTCTTCTCCTTGTCCTGACCCCCACCATGTCCAAGCAACATGGAGCTGCCTGCAATGCCTGCCGCTGCTGCACCACATCTGCTCTGACCATCCTCAAGCCTCACCTAAACCACCCCGACTCTACTGCTTGTGCACTCAGAGTTTACACCCTGCACTCTGCAGGCACAGCGGGTGATCTGATTTGGATGATAAGCGGGGACCTACAGCACCAAGACAGATAATGACAAGGCTGGGGCTTGCTCCTGAGCCCATGTTTGTCATTCGAGAAACTCTACCCCCTGTTATCAGGTGTCGGTGTGCTGGAAAGAGCCCAGGATGAAGTCACGCTTTTTTCAGCCTGGAAAAAGATCAGGAGGCAAGTGCAGCACATCCATGGAAATCAGGTACCAGCTCCCGGCAGCTGTCTAACAGCCACGAAATGAATTAAGGCAATGATTAGTGGAGTGATTTGGTTCAAGTAGCAGGACTTCAGTCTGAACATGTTCCTACTTAGCTTACATGTTTCATTCGCAGGCAGATGTCAAGCTGGATGTTGCTAGGAGATCGACAGCAGGGGAATAATTAAGTCTGATTAAATCCTATCATATTGCTGTACCGCTTTCCAGAATGCTCTGGAGCTTTTCAAAGCCAAGCTGACCGAATGAAAGGGCAAGACCTGCATTCCATCCTGGTTCATAAAACCCACTTGTGGCCAACCCACTGAGTCTGTGGGTCCTCACTTGTCTGCAGAGCTTTTCCACAGCAATGATGGTCACGAGCTGGGGAAAATAAAGGCTTGGGCAGAGGGCATGGCTGGTGGCTATATTAGCAGGTAACACAGGACAGTGAGGACCGGTTGCTATCTGGAGCAGACAGTGAGGGGTCCTACACCACATGTCACTGCATCAAACCCATGTGCTGCTTGGGGCACTCACGTTGGACTAGACATAACCTGGTGCCCTCTGCATGGAGAGCACGCCTGGGTCAAGGCTGTGCCAGGGACCAGGCACTGGTTCTGCTCCTCGTGTCCTCAGTGGGGCTTGGGCACATCAGGGAGACAAACTTCCTCCTTCCATTCCTATAGAAGGATCCCACCTGTGGCATGCTGAAATCCCTCTGCACACGTACGTCACATGTGGTGCTGAGCACCACAGGGCGTTTCTGCTGAAATGGTGCCTGTTTGCTTTTCTCTTTCATGGTGACTGAGGCGCACATTATACAGGGTGACACATAAAGGTAAATAACAGCTACACGTTCTTTTCCCACCACTAAATAAAGTTGTGCTCTATCTGCATCAGTTGCTAAACACACACACGTCAGCCCCTGGGCTCCCTGCGTAGTGACACTGCTAATCTCATTTTGACTCTGTCCTATAAAAATTCTCATTCAAATACTTACTCTGTAATCCTTCCCCCCAAATTACACGTCACCAAATCAGACCTAATACTAATTAATGCAATGTCTTATTATTCATTAAATACCACTGAATACCACAGCAAAGACCTCTTTCCAGTAATGGCTAGATAGAGGTTACCTCTGCTGATGCACAGGCTCAGGGAATGCAGTCTGGGAACACAACTCTGGACAAACTTGTTCCATTGCACACTCATTACATATTATTCCTAAACACAGGCTCTGAGTGTGACCAGTCTGTGGAGAGACCTTTACATTTCTGGTGCTCTGGCTACTCTAAGAACAGAAACATTAAACAGCATCATCGACAAGCTCACACAAACCAAGCTAAACCAAGCTGAACTTGGCTGAAGAATTCTGCCACCCTCCAGATGTTTTCAGCAGCAAAGAGCCACACTTACCGCTGCGGGTGCAGGCAAACCCAGAGCCTGCCTGAACAGCTCCCTGAGCCCTCTGCCCACCTGGACCAGGCTTCCCAAGGTCCTCCTTAGATGAAAGGATCCAGCAGCCCTGTCTGACACGCGGCTGTGCGAGCAGCTGGCCAGCACATCACTCGGCAGTTCACCTCCCTGCATTAATTCCAATACGCTATGCTTGGTTCACGTGTGTTTTCCAAGAAAGGAGGTAGGCTTGATTTGAAGACAAACGGAGACTCCCACCTCCCTGGGTCTGTTTCCAGAGTCCCTCACCCTCACGTTCAGAAGAGCAGCCCACATCCCTGCGTCTGGCTTCAGCTTGCAGACATACCATTTTGTTCTGCCTTCTGCTTGATTAAAGAGCCTTTCAGAGCCTGGCATTTTCTCTTTGTGACACTACACATATGCTGCAAGCAAACCCCCTCTCATCCATCTTTCCGATAAGCTAAATATACTGAGTTGCTTAATTCTCTTACTGCCAGGCTTTTCCTCCCACCCTCAAGCCATTTTTTGCATTTCTTCTCTACACAGCCTCTCTGATTATCCTGAATCCTTTTCAAGACATAGAACCCCACAACAAGCCTCCCTAATGCTTTGGCACAGGGATTAAATCTCTTTTTACCCCATTCACTGTCTCAAAAGGCTGTGTTGGTCCTCTCTGCCATAGCATCAGATTAAGCATTCAGGCAAGATTGTCCCAGATCTTTTCCAGACCTGCCACTGGCAGGTTAGAGGCACCTGGGCTCTGTGTGTGCCTCAGCTGCACATCCAGAACACTAATGCATGGAGCTGGGTGGTGGGGGACACTTTACCAAGGGAGGAGTGATCACAGACACCTCCCTTGCCTGCTCCCTGTCCTGGGATTGTGGATGTCGTGGCTGCCTCTCCAGCAGCATCCCTGAACAGTCTGCAGGCAGAGTCCTGTGGGATTTCCCTCTGGCCAGTGGCTGTTTTACCCAGAGTCAGCACCTCCGCTTCCCAGGTGCTGCAGGCTCAGGTCACCCATCCATAGCTGGACACAGACCCCATCACAGGGGACATGGGTGCCACATTGAGGGGCTTAGAGAGCTGAGCCTCACAGGCAGAAGCAAGGTTTGCTGAGCCTCATCTGCTCCCCAGGAACAGACATCCCAGCTCTCAGTAGGTTGCTGTGCAATAGGGGAGAGCACAGGACCAAGCAGTGCCTGCTGGCAGCCAGGCTACTTTCAGTGTGATGCCAGGGAAGTATTTTGCAGTGCCTCTTAGCATTTCACCCAAGCTGCTCTCAGTGACAGCAATCACTGAGGGATCGGGTGCACTGCTTGGTGTCTGGGCTGCACACCATGAAAACAGCCTCTCAGAAATAATGACCTGGGTGGAGTTTCCACCTTTAGTTTTGCCCCTTTAAGAACCCAGCTCAAACAGTCCTTGTATATTTGTCATTCAAAGAGTTTTCTTCCTCCCCAGCAGTCCTGTCAGCAAAGCCTACCTGAGACCCGGGAGTGAAACAGGGAATCTTTCCCAGCCACCGGATATCACAGTGCTCTTCCTCATGCTGGTGCTCAGGGATCCTGGAAGGAGCCCAGCTCCAGCTGTGCCCACACTGCCTTTCCAGAGCCAAGAGCACACAACTGGATCACTGCCACTGGGTTTCTCAGGCAATCACTGAATAAACCTGAATTTCAGCGATGGTGAGGGCTGTGATGGCCATGAACCCTGACAGGCTCACCCCAAGCCCTCCAGCCAGGCATTGCCCTGTCTCTTCTTGTGCTGTAAAACAGCTGAAAGAGGCAGGCAGGTACCAGCCGCTGCCTCTTCTCGAATGGAATGGCAGGAGTGACACCATCTCACTGTCACAAAGGGGAGCGAATTTGGCACAGCAGCAGCAACACAAGGAGAGGCTGCGGCTCCACAGACCAGCCAGGTTCATGCCACAGGCCCAAGTAACTCACAAACAACATTTTGATGACATAACCATGGGCTCTCCTAAACATATTAATGTTTAACAGACTCTTAGCTGGCGGGAGGCAGCATAACTCAGCCAAATAAATGAGCAGAGGAACAGCAAAGGGACCCAGACTGGGGTGGTAAAAGCACAGCTAATGGCATCCTGAGTGCTGTGTTACATAGCACAGACCTTGCAGAGAAACTCCTCCATGGGCAAAAGGAAAGGTGTAGGCGATGGGAGAGCAGGAGCATCCATAGAGCACGCTTTGCCTGCTCCACCGTCATCAACAATGACACAGGAGTTTATTATAAAGAATTAATGAGACTCATGATAGCTTAACAACTGTGTATTAACAGCTATGTTTTGAGATCTGTCAGGGAGCCAAGTCTTAATGGAGAGACACCAACAACAGGAAGCGTACCCAGACCCCCAGTGACCATTTCCTGGTCCAGTTAAAAACCAACTGTCTAGATGGCAAGATGAAGGCTTACATTTGTGGCTGACAAAATACCGAACAGGCTGCTTGCTGCTACAGCACACGCTGAACAGCCTGATAAAACAATCATAACCCACAGCACAGTCACGGGCTGCAGAGGAAGGTTGTTGGGAACACAAGAGGACAGGCTGTACCGCAGGGTGGAGGGCATCCCGGAAAGCAGGGAATAAGTGTTAATAGGAAAAAGCCAAAGAGAGCTGGCCCCACACACATCTGCTGCTATGAGCCTGCACTGCAGCACCTCGGCACGGGGAGCTGCGAGCCAGCAGCACGTGGATGTGACTTCCGAGCAGACACACAGCAGTGCTTGTACCTCTACAGCTCTGGCAAAGTCAGCTTGGTGCCTGGTCCAGCCCTCCAGACTGCAGAAAGGATGCAGAAATCCCGAGGAGCAGCCACACCATCATGAAAAGGGAGCTAAGGCTGGGAAATGCAGCAAATAAAGCTGTGCAAGGTGTGAGGAGTGCCGCAGGGGAAGGTCTCCTTGCGGATGGGGGAATAGAGCACTGCTATGGGCAGTGTGTCGGCCCAGCAGAGAAAAGTGAGGGGTGCAAAGGTGAGGAATTGGAGATGAAGAAACTCAAGCTCGGAATTAAGCACATTCCTTTGCAGCACAGTGGCTGAAGGCTGTAGGGGTGGCCGTCCCCACTGCAGAGCAGCTCACAGATAGGATTAGATGGTCTCAACTTCTAATTTACTTTGTTATATCTGTGGCTCAGGCATGAAGAAGAGCTGCTGCGTGGTCAAACTTCTTGTTTCCCTCTGAGCAATGATTCCATCCCTCAGAATCATAGAATCATAGAATAGTTAGGGTTGGAAAGGACCTTAAGATCATCTAATTCCAACCCCCCTGCCATGGGCAGGGACAGCTCACACTAAACCAGATCAGTCCCCTGATCATCCTCGCCCTCCTCTGGACTTGTTCCAACAGTTCCATGTCCTTTTTATGTTGAGGACACCAGACCTGCACACAATACTCCAGGTGAGGTCTCACGAGAGCAGAGCAGAGGGGCAGGATCACCTCCTTCAACCTGCTGGTCACGCTCCTTTTGATGCAGCCCAGGATACAGTTGGCTTTCTGGGCTTTGAGCACACGCTGCTCATGTTCATCTTCTCATCAACCAGCACCCCCAAGTCCTCTGCAGGGCTGCTCTGAATCTCTTCTCTGCCCAACCTGTAGCTGTGCCTGGGATTGCTCCGACCCAGGTGTAGGACCTTGCACTTGTCGTGGTTAAACTGCATAAGGTTGGCATCAGCCCACCTCACAAGCGTGTCGAGGTCCCTCTGGATGGCATTCCAGACCAGGACTGATTCCTACATGCTGGAGAAGGCAGTGGAGAGGTGTGGAAGGACTCAGCCTCAGGACAGTCTCTTCACCTGCTCTTCTGGCTCATGCATGTGGAGAATTAAAGTCACTCCAGAGTGAGAGCTTTCTTCTGTAGCCTGATCAACCAAGTTTCATAACAAATGAGCGCAGGAGATTGTAATCTGTTGCTGCCATGCTCTCAGCTTGCTGTCCAAGGACAAATGAAGTTTGCCCAGGGAGGCTGTGAATGCTCCATCCCTGGCAGCCTTCAAGACCAGGCTGGACGAAGCCTTGGGTGATATGGTTTAGTGTGAGGTGTCCCTGCCCATGGCAGGGGGGTTGGAACTTGATGATCTTAAGGTCCTTTCCAACCCTAACTATTCTATGATTCTATGATTCTGAGGGATGGAATCATTGCTCAGAGGGAAACAAGAAGTTTGACCACGCAGCAGCTCTTCTTCATGCCTGAGCCACAGATATAACAAAGTAAATTAGAAGTTGAGACCGTCTAATCCTATTTGTGAGCTGCTCTGCAGTGGGGACGGCCACCCCTACAGGTACAATAGCCTGACCTGGCTCCCTGGCATTACATTACTCTTGGCACAGGCATGCTGTCTGCCTGTAGCAGTGCACGTTGCCAGCCTTTTGCCCAGGGAATGCCACACTCCAGCCTGCAGCAGGCAAGCCCTTGTACACCTTTATCTGTGCCATTGTAGTGATTTAGCCACATGGCCACAGGTTCCTCTTTTCAGCCTTTTCAACCTGATCTCCACCTCTCCCTGGTGAACTGAAGCCTCTGAACGCGAGTAACACATCAGCAATCTTCATGCAATGCAGCAGCCAGCTCTGTTGCTTGAACTGGTCTCTCCCAGATGTGCCAAGCAAACTGGTGCCAAAACCCACACTGCAAGCACAGTAACCCACAGCTCTGCTGGTTCAGTCCCATTTACAAACCTCCTCCATTTGCATCACTCTGATCTCTTGTCCCCAGGAAATGGCTGTGCGCCAGTGCCTGTCCCTGGTGAGCTGCACTCCTGTGCCAGCCAACCTGTGCCCTGTTTGAGGTTTCATGATGTCCCTTGTCATGATTTCAGACACAAAGAGTGGCCGTGTGCTATTTTCTTTGCCAGCCTGGGGCAGAACTGACAGCATGGGTATGAGCACATTTGTTTGGAGTAAGTCATTTCACGTCACCTTTGCTAGCCCCATTTCTGTTTTATAACAACATTAGTTGTTATAAAAAGCATCGGTTTTGCAATGTGACCTGTGCTGGTTGTACTGCAGATGGTCGTTTTGTCTGCAGAGCCACAGGCTGCATCCCCTCCGTTGTGAGTTCTTCTTCTTGAAACTCTCCGTGATGCACCGGGGACATCAAAACCTCCTAGGGTGCAGGGCCATGTGCCCGAGGGGAAGATGCTCATTGCAGCATCCTACTGCCTGCTCAACCAAGATCAGGTCAAGCATGATGCTCAGGAAAGGGACCAAGGAGAGGGGAGGTAGTGAGGCGCTGGGGTGAGGAGAGTCAGTGGGAGGAAACAGAAAGCACCAGACAACTCCATGACTTTGCACAAGTCCTGCCAGTCCCCAGGAAGGCGGTGGGATAAAGGTGCTGGAACTGCCAGTGCAGGTGCTTCACCCATAGAAGAGAGAAGAGCTGCCTGGCATGGGGTGCTGGCCTGTGAGGGGCCCAGCTGAAGCAGCCCCACCATGTCCTGGTGCCTGTCCCACATCTGGGTGCTGAGGTTTATCTGCTCCCAAGGAAAGGAAAAGAAGGAAAAGGAAGAGAAGGAAGAGAAAGAAAAGGAAGAGAAGGAAAAGGAAGGAGAGGAGCCACACAGCATGGGGCAGAGCAGGGCTGGTGGAGCTGGTTATGGGTTTGCACCACACTGACCCCTGTGCTGCAGGATGTAGCCAAGGTTTCAGGCTTTGCTGCAGGGCATGAACACCCCGTGTTATGAAGATTCAGCACTTGTGGCAACCTGTGTGCTCTTGCAGCCGCTTTGTGTAACAAGGAGTTAGTGCAACCAGGAGGAAGTGCCTCTGGGTGCTGCGTTTGCTGGCAGGACATGGGCTAACAGCAGCCATGAGGAGGCAGCTGCCAGCCACACGCAGGGGACACAGGCAGAGGGGGAGCTGCTGCAGCACAGCAAACCTCACCGGGTACATCACCAGCATCCACACAATCCCACCGTGACCGGTACAACAGAACAGGACGAGGGGGACGTCTTGTAGCAAGAGGGGTCCCAAAAAGCTTGTGTACAGAGGTGCCAGGCATGGAGGACTCTGCCTCTGTCCCAGCAGCCACAGGAGACCATCCAGGCCAGCAGGTCCCTCATTCCCCACACACTGTAGCCCACACAGTCAGGCAGCAAGAAGGCAAGGACAGAGCTCAGCCTCCCCAGCAAAGCTTCCCACCCTGCTCCCCCAGGAACTAGCCCCCTGTGCCATGGCAGAGGGAGTATGAACATCCTGTAGCCATTACCTGAGGCACTGGTACACTGGGGAAGCCAGCAGGTCCACAGGGACGGGCAGATGCAGCTGCTCAGGGCTGGAGCTCTCAGGGCTCAGCACCCAGTTGAGGGAGGTTCGTACCTGCAGCAGGACTGGTGGTTCCAATGCAGGGCTGGGGGAAGCTAACCACAGAGAGAGGTTGGTGCCAATGACATTCTGCCTGACAGACCGGTTCCTGGTGAATGGGAGAAATCAGCACCGTTGATTCACGAAGACACACAGGCAGATCCTTGTGTTCAGAGTCCAGCACCTACAGCCCATCTGGATTGACGTGTGAGCCCTGGCACAAAGCTGGGCAGAGCAGCCTGCCCCAGCTCCCCATATGACCCAGCCATAAACCCTGGCACTGCTGGGAGCATTGGGCTATTCCACCCTCCACCAGCACCCAGGACACAACCATGGCTTGGCACTCCCAGCAGTGATGCATCGCTCTGTGTGCCCAGAGCATCAGACATCTGCTTCAGTCAGACCCCCACCTCATCAGCATCCTCAGCAGTACTGGGGGACCAGCTACAGTCAAGCCTGGCCAAGGGGGACAGCTTCAGTATCACACCCCAGAGTCACTGCCAGCTGCATCCCCACCCTGGGCCCTGACTCAAAGTGGGATTTTTGATCTTTTCCTCCATAATGCTTTCCTGAGCCTCAGGCCTCACAGAAAAGCTCTTCAGCTGAAGGGCTTCCCCATTTCTTTGACAGTAGGTGACCATGTGCAAGCCTGTTGCTGTGCACACTTGAGTCCTACAGCATTGTCTGCTGAGATACTTCCCTCCTTTTCCTTCACAAGCCAGGAAACACCCTCGAGCTCAAGAACCAGTGAAATCGGTGCTTTCATTGACCTGCTCTCTCAAGAACACTGGAGCTGTGCGAGTCCAGAGGGAGAAGGATGGAGCACCAGGAGCTTGCTCGCAGCAAGCCCACAGCCACAGCGCATGAGCAGAGCTGCCTTTCCTGGGGGATGGTTGTCTCCAGCCCCCAGCACACTGCAGCCTTGAGCAGCCTTGCCAGAGGCCTGCGCTCCTCCCGTTGCACCAGGCAGCTGGGAGAGGCACCTCGTGGTCTGGATGCGGAGTGAGCTGTCAGCTCTCCCTCATCTGCACAGCCAGGCCTAAAAATACCCCGTGAGTGGGCTGATGGTGGTGGTGGTGGTGTTACAGCCTCCATGGTGAGCATGGGAATGTCTGGTCCCTGCCAGAGCACCCGAGGAACTGCCAGCTCCTCTGCCCTGTGCTGGCACAGGGTTTTGGGATCCCGTGCTGTGCCTTGGCAATTCCCATAGTGGAGGTGTGCCAGGGAGAGAGCATGGCACAGAGCATCCCAGCGAGGCACAGTATCACTGCTGGGGCTGTTCCAGCCAGGGGAGACAGGCAGCTCCAGTGGCACCATGCCTGCTGGGTGTACGGGACTGAGCAGCATGGGAACAGGGGGTTTCGTAGCCCAGTGCCATGAGCCCCTAACAATGATAGGATGGGTGCTGCCCAGACACCCTGTTGTTCAACACTAGTTGAAAGCGCTTCCAGCCAGCCAAGCTGACAGCAGTGTGGGTGCAAGCACAGCAAGACAGGGAGCTGGAGGGCACATCAGTGGAGCAACCACAGCAGGAGAGTGGGCTCAGCCCTCAGCACATGGGAAAAGCCAGAGAAGCAGAAGAGCACAGCTGAGTTTGCAGCCTGTTCGGGAAGAGGGCTGGTCTTGTGCCCTAAAACACACTGGCAAAGGGAAAAGCTGTCAGCTTCTTCCTTCCCATCCCTGCACCATCCAAATCCACAAGGCCTGACAGTGAGCACGGCTGCTGACGCTGATCCTCGGGCAATCATCCACCCACTAACCCGACTGAGTGGGAAAAGATGTTGCTGGAGGAGGCCAGAGGCATAAGCCAGGTCTTGTAGGAATGGCTTACAGCATGAGAGCATGAATACGGCCCAAAGAAGGGACTGGCTCCTACACATGGCCAGCAGGCAGAGCCCATGCCCTGTGGATGCTAGAGGGTCAGGGCAGGAGGGAGGGCTGCTTGGGGAAGGCAGGCACAGCCTTGTCAGAGCTGTCTGACAGATGGGGGCAGGTTCACCAGGCTGGGCCCCCACCATCCTGGTATTCCCAGGAGAGCTGCTACCCAGGAGGAGCCCATGTTTGGGGCAGGGCACACCGTGGCAGGGTAAATGCAGGCAGTGCAGCACTGCCTTGGCAAGAGGCTTCTGCAGGATCTATCCCACCAGCAGCTGCACCACCCCTCTGCAGCCATCTCTACTTGCTTCAGAGCTGGTCGGTAAAATACCTGTCCATCTTCCTCCCAAAGCAACAGCACACAGGGCACAAGATCTTAACTGCCCTGCTGAGCATCCCACAGCCCTCTTGAGTGCATGAGCCTCTACTTATTTGCCTTCACGATGTATTTCACATGCTTTCATCCACTAGACCTGAAGCACCCTGTGCATTTGCTGATGCTGTGCATGACTGTGGTGGGTGCATGGAGCACATTAGCATCCACATGGGCTCTTGGTTTGTGAGTGGCTGCAGGGACTGTAAAAGAGGGCTCACCTTGTGCTCCAGCCCTCAGCCAACCCACAGGAATTCCATCCCAGCCCTGCTGGTGTCCCCAGGATGTCACAAGCATCCTTGACCCAAAACCTGAAGTGCCACCTACTCACCCCTACCCAGTGCTGCACTTTTGTCAGAGCCTAGGCCAGCAGGGCAACACCTCCAGCACTGCCAAACCTCTCCTGGGCTGGCAACCAAGGGCCAAGACCACAATGACTCAGTGTCACCTCTCAGAGGGACAGGCTCCAGACACAGACCTGGATTCTATGACCCCTGGCAGCTCCTAGAGCCTGCACAAAGCTCTTCCCAGGGAGCAGAGCCCCGAGCAATCTCACCTGCTTTAGGGCTGCAGACAGGTCATGCTGGCAGAGGGGCGAGGCCAAAATACCTTCAAGGCACCTGGCAGGGCCCAGCTGCAGCCAGGCATCCATCCATTTGATGGGAAGGGGAAAGCCTCCCCCAGCAGGTACCAGGCACCTCCCCAGTAAGGCTGCATCAGCTCTTGGAAGGAGTGAGGTTCTCCAGCCTGCCTGGAGAAGGGGTGAGGATGTGCTGTGAGAGATAAGGCCACTCCAGCCCCTACAGATTGCCCCCATGGCTCCAGCCCTGCACTTCTTGCTGGGAACCATCCATGCAGCTTCAGCACAGCCAGTGCACAACTGGGCAAGGGACTAACTCAGGTCCCCCCAGGGCTGCTCATACAAACTGACTGAGGCTGGGGGACACAGGCAGGCAGGTAGGAGGGACCCCAGGCAGCTCCCTCAGGGTCCAGGGCAGCAGTGCAGGCACCAGGCTCCTGGGGAAAGAGCAATGCCCCACACAGGTGAGTGCCCAGCATAGAGAAGGCAGGGCAGTGGGGCAGGAGAGACCTCACTACACCGGGACCCCTTAGTAGGGCTCATGTGGAGAAGCCCTGGGCTCAGCTGGAGAAGGCAAGGAGTGAGAAGCACTTTGAGCTGGTCCATCAGATGCTGATGTGCCTGGCTCCCAGCCCAGGCGCTCAGAGCCACGCAGCTCCCATGAATGCTGCCTTTCTTCTCGCTGCCGCACAGCCCTTGGCAGCCCCTCAGCTGCTCCGCCTGCGGAGGGAGAAGAGCCAAGGCCTGTTTTGATGTCCCTTTCCCCTTGCCAGGCTCTGCACAGTGCTCAGGGCTCAAGTTGGGGCCTCCCCGCTGGGGACAGCACTGCAGATCCCTGCTCCTACAGGGATCCAAGAGAAGCCTTCACCTCCAGCTAGCAAGAAAAAGCAGGGCTGGCCCCAGCCCCACTGCAAGGACAGCAGAAGGTCCAAGCAGGACCTCCCCACATGCAGGAGAGAAAGGCAGAATAAGAGCATTAACTCTATTGCCGGTCCCTATAGACACTAGCTGTTAAATGGTGTTTGGAAACATCTATCCAGCTGGACCTGGGAAAGACAGAGGGGACTCTGGATAAATCCATCTCTGGCTGACAACACAACTACTCCCTTCATTCTGTTCTGCCTCTGCTGGGCCTGGACAAGCGAATGCTGTGCCCCTGCTGCAGAGCCAAGCAGCCTGGCCAGCCACCCACTGCAGGCAAGCGCAGATCCAGACAGGCTGCTAAGCCCTTTGGTGTAGGTGCTCCCCATTGCTGCCAGTTTCCTTGCTCTTGGTGTATCTCCAGCAGCAGCAGCACACAACCACCACTCCTACGTCCCATAGAACTGTCTGCCGGTTAATAGCTCCTCTGCACATCAACCTGTAGCTGTCAGCAACCAGCACCCACACTAAAGGCACTCATGTCCTGCACCCAAGACAGCGAGTCACTTTTTTAATCCCTTGTGGCTATCAGTAATGAAGTTTGAGACAACCCTTGTTGTGAGGATAGGCACGAAAATTAACCCAAAAGGTGCAGATACTTTCAAGAGAAAGAGCAGCACTTGAGGAAATGGGAGTCCAAGCATATTAGCTATCATCTACTCACATTCACAACCATCTGATCCCATGGCTGAAGCGTGTCTGGAGGTCCATGAGTACAACACCCCCCCTACCTCCCATAGCATACCTCTATGTGCTGTATCACAGTGCAGTCACAGGTATAGTTTGGACATGAGACTGAGTTGCAAAACCAAGTTTCTCCTTAACCCTAGATGGAAGACTTCAGGCTGGGGATGAGAACATCCCAGCACATCAGCCAACCACCTCACCTACAGCTTTGTGAGGAGGCAGCAATTCCTTCAGCCAGCAGTGGTGTTAAAGACGAGAGCATCCCAGTTCTTGGGAGTGCTGGCTGTGCCCTCTCGCAGCGTAAGTGGCTCACACTGGGTACACCAGGCAGTGACTTCCATGAGACTAAGTCCCCACTAGAACTGTTCATAGAAGTGAGAACTTCCCTTATACACAGAATTACAGGCCAAGGACATCTCTGTTCATGCTCTCCTACCTTCACTCAGTTTTGGCTAGAAATTAACACACATACTACTCCATTATAATCTTTTTCCAGTACCTTCCCACACATTTCCCTTGCTCCCTAGGTGCTGTCAGAACAGTTTTCACTTCAGCACCCTCACATTACTCACGCTGCAGCAAGGCTGTGGCAATGCCTCCGTGTGGATCTGCCATGGGTTTCTCCAAAGACAGCAATCAGGTGAGTGTTTCCCATTCCTCTGTAGACCATTCTGGTGAGGTGCAAGGAAACCTCTGATACACACCCTCAGCTCTGCTCACTACTGGAACCAAGCAACAACACACTCACCCCCCCGATGTGCTGCACTCTTCATTCATCTGAAGCTGCTGAACAGCTCTAACAGCAATGCAAAGAAGAATGATTATGGGAAAAGAAGAAAAAGGCTTCTTTTGACTTTTAGCAATACCCCAAATTGTTCATGTTGAAACTAAAATACCATATGCTTTAACCTAAATACACACATTTAAA